AAAAAGGACAGCACCTGGTTGATTTTGATGTCACAGTACCTGGGGTGACTGGAGGTTCCTAGGTCAGTCCCAGCAAATGCTGAATGGGGAAATGAATGGTAGCCCCGAGTTTCCTGTCTCACTAACTCCATTCATTCTCCTTCCGATTCATCGTCCTGAGAAGGGAGTGCTGAATTCCAGGAACTCTTTGAAGTTAGGCTATGGGAAGCAATGCCTACTGACAAGTAGACGTTTTGTTTAGAGGATCTATATTGGCCAGTCTGATGCAGCAAAAACGTCTTTGTGGGGAATAGTGGGCTGCACACAGTGAGAAGTCCAAGGGTGTGAGAAGGAGGGGATGCCTCCACGGTCTTCACTGCATAGCACCAGGGCAGAGGGGACAGTGGCTGGGGCGAGCAGCAGGCAGCCTGGGTGAAGATCTGGAGACAGAGGTGGGAGACAGACACGGAGGAGTTCCTCTGAGACAGACTCCAAGGGCGTAAAAGGGTGAAGCCCCTGGAGAATCGAACACTGTGTGTGGCTCTAGACTCTGTGAGATGTGATGAGATAGCGGGCACTCCGTTCGTGGACTGTGCCTGCTTCTCCTGGACATTTCGGGACATAATATTGGGATGACAGAATGGATCAAGTCATAGATAACAGATGGGAAAGACTTTAAAAGTATTCCTAGAAAATGTCCTTGTTTTATAAAAAGCTGAGGACCATCAATTTACCAACTACCCATTTCACGAATTCACTCAATCCCCACGTGATACCTCATTCTCTGGGAACAGTACTGTGTAAAGCATTCCTCCTTTGCATTTCCCCAGAATGGCCCTTTACCCACCATGTCTCCCAACTCCCACCTGGCCCACTGACCTCAAGCACTGGCCAGAAATAACTGACTCCAATTATCTTGGAGGGTAGTTGAGCGTGCATGTGAAATGCAGTCTCAGAATGCTTTATTTTGTATAAGGCTTCTAATGGGATTTGGTTTTCTTCCTCCAAATCCAAATAATTTATTCCTTTTGCTCTACAACCTTCTCAAGTGTGAGATAAATAGAGAAGTCATCTGTATCAGACATGTAAAGCTAATAGAAACAGAGGGGAAAGAATACGAAAACACAAAGAGGCAGGAAAAACACCAAAGGGATGTCACTGAGTTTATCAAACATTGTTTCTCTAAATTAGAATCCAACCAACAAATTCACAGGCAATGAGATCTAGTGAACAAAATGGAGTAACAATAAATACAATTACAATTTTTCAGAAGTATGTGCAGAAACCACTTTGTGTCTAAATATACAGAAGGTTCCAACTCACACACTAACTTTGCTACAAAGACAATGGGACAGGAGGTATCACTGAAAGAAGGGATGGACTGCGCTGTGCAGAAGATAAAAAGAATAATGAAAGTGAATAATTTTTAATCTGGTGAAAAATAAAACAACAAAGATACTTGTTACCCAGATATTGGGAAAAGTGCTGCTTAACAACAACAAAAAAATCATACTTGAACGTTTTCATTTAGACCAGCAGATGGACACCACGTTTTCTTTCTCAATCTGCTTTTGTTCCTAAGAGCTGTGAAGCCCCGTGAATGAGAAGGGCTATGGGAGAATAATGACACCAGGGGTAAGTGTGGTCCCCCGGCTTGGAGCAGGTGCCAGGGGAAGGTGACCCTCAAGACAAACATGGCCAAGTTCCTTCAAATGGCCTGACGCTGCCAGCACTCCCTATAAAGCATAGAGGGACTGGTGCTCATAGCAGTTTTGTTATAAAACACCTGATCATAATTGTACTACATGTGGAAATGTACTATGAAGGATCTGGTCTATAGCAACAATTTTATGTTCAGAAAAGGAGACTTTAAAAAATTATTCAGTTAATAAATATTTATCTGCTATCCAAATGTGTGTCAGAACTAGGAGACCTTGAGGACACTACAGTAAAAGAAAAACAGGTCTGGGGCTTACATGCTAATAGATGATGCGAGTTGGCAGAGGCCAACAGGAAGTATTGCAAAGAAATTAAAATGTTAAATTTGTTTCACCAACTACTAGTTCTCATTGGGGAGGAATTCTACCAGGGAACTATTTTTAGAAATGTTATTAGTATAAAATTTTAAAAGGAATACTGAAAAAATGTATTCCTTCTATTGATTGATTTCTCTTTTTCCTTTTCTGTGAATTAGAAAGTGGCCACCATTTGTATCTGAGTGAAAGAAAAGCGGTTTGCAGACGCACAGTTTGAGAACCATTGAGTGAGGAAACCCGTGGAGTCAGCTGGGGCTGGTGACTGAGCACCAGCAGCAGTGATTAGAAATGATTCCATATCAGGAAGCGAACTTTGACCTTCCGCAGGCAGGAGCGCACAGGAGGGCGTGCCCTGGAGGTCGCTGGGGTCCATCGTCTAAATCCCAGGGGACCCAGAGCTGGCGCGGCAGGAACACGGGGCAGAAGGGCTGGCCGAGCACGTGTGTGGCTGCCACGTGCAATTCCAGGCACAGGCGAAGCAGCAGCAAAACGCAGGCGGAGGCCAGACCAACCGGGAGAAGCTCCCTGTGGGCGTGCTGCGAGCTGCGCTATGTGTGTGATGATGGCCGCCCGCCCCACAGGGCTGTTGAGCTCTTGGAACTGGACCACCCCAAAAGGGATGTGTTCTAAGTGTGAAATACACATTGTATTGCAAGATACAGTAAAAAATATAAAATATGTAACTACTAAATTTATCTTTGTATATGTTAAAATGATACTATGTTGGATATGTTGGGTATATAGAGCTCATTTTTTCTTTTAATGTGGCTTCTAAGGAGTTTAAAATTACACGTTACTTATATTTTAGACCGCACAGCTTTGCAGAATACACTGCCAAGTTCCTTGAACATGTATCCCCATCAGCAAACACGATCTAAATACATCTTTGAAATTCCTTTTTGAATGGCAAGTCTGGCAAGCCCTGTAAAAAAGATGGTATGTTTTACAAAATGGGTGGAGAAATAGAAAACTTCAAAAAGTAAAATAAAAATAGAGATAGTAATTCTTTCAGATCTTGGTGGATCACATGATCACTCTTTCAAAGGCTAAAATATTATGTTTCTAGTGTGGATCATGATCCAACTACACAGTCTTATGTGAATGATCCAGTCAGTAAATAAGTAATTACTAGGTTGATCAAACATTGAAAGGACTAGACAGAGAATCCAAGAAAAGTGTTTGCTTGCTGAGTACATTAGAAATCATGTTTAGGATGTTGTATGGGGTTGAAATATGATGTTACATCAAGTCTATTTAATATTTATGCAAATACTAACAATATAACTGCTAAATCAATATAGAATAAAAGATGATCTTTAATTTCATTGAACAAGTGTATGGAAAATCAGAGTGCTGAGAAGGGCAAAATCGTAAAACTGACTAATGTCCACCTGCCGGCTGATTTCTCTGACTGAGACGAAGAAAAATGAGATAAGATGAAAAAAAAAAAGTGTAATATAGGAGATATGCTGCATGAACCCTGACTTATTAAAAGGAATAAATGCCCAATTACACTGAATACATGGTAATAAATCCTAAGCACATTATTATTTACTCATAGAAATTAGAATCGTAGACACATAAAGCTTCAGGCAACTAATAATCATCAGTACCATCTTTTTACTTTAAGGATGAGGACGTGGAAGCCCTGGATGCAAAGGCCAGAAGGCACAGGCTGGAGAGCCCTTGGGGCCAGGAGCAGCCCTGGTGTCCATAGACCGGGCCCTGGCCCCTTCCAGCAGTCGTTGTGCCCTGGATTCAGAGGAACAGCACCCTTTACATGGAAGGTCTTATTTGTTTGCTTGAAACTTGTTCTGCTTATTCCACATCCCCTTTCTCATGAGCAGTAGTTTCATACCTCATAAATAAACATAGTATTCCCTAACTTTTTTCTAACCCAGAATCACATGTTTCATGTCTGAATAATGTTAGTTGGCAAACCGTGTAGGGTCTGGGTTAATAGGCTTTTACTGAATATCTCAGCAAGAGAAATGGCTCCCAGATCAGCAAGCCCATTCCTTATACACTTCAGGCCTCTACTTTCTGTTGTGATTAAATGATACATTATGAACTCCCCAAATAACCTCAATATGTTTTTATGATAAAGTATGCTGTTATGTTCAGATATTTATCTTATCCATTGTAACAGTAATGACGTAGGAAACACTTAATATTCGATCACATTTTCCCTGCTGGTATTCCGAATGGAACAGAGCAGATGTTCATAGATAATTAACGATTTTTAAAAGTACACATGTTCAGACGTTAACTCTTCTGTGTGTTAAAAAGCATCACAGCATTTTTCAATATGGGAATTTTAAGTAAAAGAGAAGCAAATTATTCAGTTGTTATGGCTTCTGCTTACAGACAAAATTGTATATGCCTATCTTTGCTGTGAAAAAAGACTAATGTTATAAAAATAAGACATTGCTAAAATGCTTTTAAGCTTTTTATATTTAATCAGATCATTTGTAGTAACTTCTAGATACTTATTGGAATGAGCAAAGAATGCCAAGTGTTACTTTATTGATATATAGATTTTTCTGGTCAAATTTATGAGAAGGACATGCTGTTGCAACTTTCAGATTACACTGGATTTTCCAAGATCCAAAAACATCTCTTAATTCCTTAATAGTTAAACAATTTTCCTTCACACCTTCTATATTTATTTTAATTTCCTAGATGTTATATACTAATATCTCTTAATTCCTTAATAGTTAAACAATTGTCCTTCGCACCTTCTATATTTATTTTTATTTCCTAGATGTTATATACTTCAGCACTTGCATGCATTTGCTACTTAAGCTTTGGTTCAACGTGCTCTGCACTGTATCACCCGAGTGTCCCAGCTTTTAATAATCAGCACATTCTGACAGAGCTCCTGACAGGATGGCCAGGAGAGATGACGATGATGAGATTGAATGGGACTATTTTCATAATTAACACAATTCTTTAATGAGCATTTTTCTGCTATAAAAAGGCGTCTCTTCCTATAACCTCTCAGCCGCTGAAGCAGTCCCGCTCAGACTGTGCCCCGCACGGAAGCGCCTCCTGGAACTGCCTGGAACTGGTCAGGAGACATGCGGGAATGCAGCGTTCCCGCCAGGAAGCCTGGGGCACCCTGGCACCTGCCCTCTCACCCAGGCCCGGCCCTGCTGGACCCAGTGGAGCCAGTTCAGGAGTTTGGGACGTGCTTGTGCTCCTCACGTATTGGGATCAGCAGCGCACTGGCAAAAATACTCAGAAGGAGCCTCTGCTTGTGCTGTGGCAAGATGGAGCGTCCGGAGGGTGGCTTGTCTGGTTTGCGCTGTAAGTGGGGATCACACACCCCTTCTGGGACTCAGTATTAAAAAAAAAGGAAGACTCAACAAGTGTATATTAAATACATGGGGAAGTGATAAACCTTTGGACATTTCATCTAGGCTACATCGTTACCATCAGTTTCACTGTTTCAGTCTCTCCTTTCTTTGAGGCTACTGGAACATTTTGAATAGCACGTGTGGCTTGCGTTTTGCTTCTGTTGAACGGTGCTGCTTCCCAGGATCTGCAACCGGCATCCAGGGAATGACCTCTAAGCTTTGTGGCAAACACTAGATTAAAATCACTCTAATTCTACTTGTATTTGACCCTTTAAGCCTTCTTTCATATCAAAAAGTTAGCAGAGTGATACAGTGTAACTGAGTGGAAGTTCGGTTTGTGTTGGTTAGTAGAAACCGAGTGTGTGCGGGGGAGTTTTTTTATTTGGTGAGGACTTTAGTTGAAGCTCTCAGCTACTTAATAACAATTCCCATCTGTTAGGCTGGAGAAAGGAAAAACAAGGCCATGCAAACAGAACAGAGAGATGCCATAGGGGGAGAACAGACCAGACCCCAAGGTCTGTGCCTTATATGGAAAGGGGACAGCTCTCCCTGAATTCCATCCTGATGTGCCAACTAAGACCCCATGTCAGCCTCCTCCCTCTTGGAAGGAAAAAAAGTTTCTAGTTGTCTATTATGTCACCTTTAGCCAATCATACCTCTCCACACCCCCTAGGACAGCTTGCCCACTTCTCCCCCTCCTAACCCCTCCTAAGCTCCCACCTCCCCAACCGGGTGTGACTTCCCTGGCCTGTGACAAGGCCGCAGAACCTCCCCCCGGGGCATTCAAATTAATCACCTGGCCCTTTGTTGCCCCTCTTTGCCTGCTTATTGGCTAAAATTTATCTTACACCATCCAGTGCCTGAAGAAACAATAAAAAGTAAAAGTAAATAAAGCAGACTTTCCAGGCACTAGACTGGTATTTAGTCATTAAAAATTATCTTTTTTAAAGTCAGAATAAGAAAGAAAAGTAAAGAAAGAAAAAAAGATAGTAAGCATTCTTAGAAGCATGTTCTTAATCACTGCAATGCATTATTATAGGTTATAAAATAGTCATGTCGAAATACAGATTTCTGTTTATTGTGCCAAAGTTGCGATAATTATCCAATATATCATGAATGTGCTCAGAGAAGGTATTAAGGCCTAGTCCCAGGAATTGTGTATTTCTTGTTATCATAAGAACCCTGAACACTTGAAAATTGGCCAATTTTCCTCCTTGCTTCCCTTTGCTGGGAGGTTGCAGCTGTTTTTATGGCCTAACTTAAGCAACTCTCTGAGGACAGGGCCCTGACTTTTTATAATTCAAATCTCAGGCTAGATTTAATGGATTCTTCAACTGTCTTACTCTTAATTGAAATCCTGGGTTTGACAGAAGACAGAAAAGAAAGGAAGGGAAGGGCCGGGATGGAGGGAGAAGAGGGCAGAGGAAAAGGGGGAGGGGAGGGGCGAGGGGAGGGGAGGGAAAAGCGTTGCTACGCGGCAGCATCTCCTACCTATGACGTCCTGGCGGAACAGCTCACTGCCTGTGCGGTGCTTCCACGCTCCGGGGGACGAGCAGCCCTGACCCGAGGCCCGTCCGCTGCAGCCGTAACCGGGGCGCCGTCAGTTACACACACCCCAGGGCACGGGCCGCCTCTGGGCAGCAGCAGGATGCGGGCCAAGGGGCCCCGCGGGTTCGGAGCACCTGAGCATCAGAATGCCCGTGTCAGTGCGGGGCACAGGTTTGGTCTCCCGCCCACATGTGGGTCAGGAGGCGGCGGCCCCGGGAGCATGGTCCCCGGGGATCCGCCGGGATCAGGGGTCCCGGGTCCGTGCACCCCGCCACCAACTGCATGGGCCTCTCTCCTCAAGTAAAACTAGACGCACTAATGCCTGCCTGTCGGAATTCTTGTAATTAAATCTTACACTGTCAATAAGCCACATTTAGTACAGTTAAGGTGACAATTTTACATGCTGATATCTTCATGGGTCACATAAGAAGCCTGAGCCCTGGAGCAGGAACCTCACGGTGGGAGGGCCGGGCTCTGCCCTGTGGGCTCCTTCTATTCAGTCAATGCCCGTGTTTCTGTGGCCTCTAAAATCCCCTTAGTCACGGGCCTCCAACCTGTAAGAGAGACGACAGAACACCTGGCAACAATGTATAGTGCTCAAAACATAAGGTTGCATATTTACATTTCTACATTTTTCTTTCATTTATCCCCTCAAATCTACAGTGTTGATCATCCAAAGCTTGGAAGCCTATTCCAGATATTTGAGATTGCAATCTTGCTTGCTTTAGACAGTGGGAAAGAAGATTGTTCTTAGCTAGAGAAAAGCAGCTACAGTTTCTTATTCTGGGAGAAAGAATGCGACCCCTGGCGCCTACCAGACATTGCAAATCGATTTAGCTGACTCCCGAGACTTCAGCAACTTGCAGCTGCTCCCTGGCAAATATTCAGTGATGAAAACCCAAAGACCAGCAAATGGTGGGTCAGAATGATAAGATACTGAGAAACCCAGGGAGAAATTTCTCAGCCAAAAATAAAATGAGCCACAGACAGTACCTAGAAGCAGAGCGTTAGTCGGTTGACTGGGGGGAACTTGTGTCCACCCTTTTGTGCTTCCTCACCTGCCGCCCACGCTGGGACGCCGGCAGTGAAGGTACAGGCATGTTCCTGGCAGGAAAGGATAGAGAAAGAGTCATTCACAGGCTGATCCTTGGAAGTGTGTCCCTAGGGCCTTTTTTCCCTCTGGCTGGTGAACAAAAGCGTTTACTCCAACCGTATCGTAGCAGGTTAGTTCTGACTGACTGTCACAACCCCAGCCCAGCCCAGAGGTCTAGGAGCAACTAGATCTGTTTCCTTGCTTGACACAATCATTTGTTCACTCATCCATTAACTCACTCAAATTTTTTTAAATGGTATACATGTTCATTGCTAAGGACTGAATAACGGAGAAAAAAAGAACTGTCCTCACAGAAGTTACGGACCCTAGCAGTAACCCTTTCCCCTTTTGTAAAGAATTATAAAGGGGCGGAAGATTAAAAAAAGTTCAACCATCCCTTGCAGAGTAGTTCTGGATACATTTCTTATATTCTTCTGGACGGTTCTCCAGTCCCTATCAAAGAGAAAAAAGAAAGAAAGAGCATCAGATTTTAGAAATAAATCACTCCTTAGAAGTCAAGAAAGGTATTTGCAACATTCTGCTAAACTTGAATTATGGGGTTATATTCCCAACTGGTACTGAAGAAATGTTTCTTCTTTTTTCAGAAACATTGTAGTTTGTGTCATTACACTAGGCTCCGAATCATCGGACTATACACATATCCCGCATATCCCGGAGGGGATCTCCAGTTGCCCCTCCCATGAGCAATGGCGGAGAGTACCAAAAAGTGTTATTTCCTTGTCCAGTCTCTAGGAGTCAGACAAGAAGAAAGAATAATGGTCATTTAACAGTAATCTATTAATTTTAAGTAAACCTAAAAAACTGAGGGGAGGTCTCTAATAGACATCTGGTCCATATTAGTTGATTTTCTTTCTCATAGCCCAAAAGCATTAATACTAACTAACTATTATTAGCTGAGAACTAACAGGGGTTTTGAGATGATTCATGGCCAAAGGATAGAAAAGATCTGATTAACAGAATTAATAAGCTTAACCACATGTAATCACCCATCAGTAGAAACTATGAACTTTCCGAACATACATGGAGCACCAACAAAAATCCCAGAGCAAATACCAACGTACGAATAATAAAAAAAAAGAAGACAGAACCCAAATACACAATCACTCTCAAGACACATTATAATTAGAAATGAGCAGCAAGAAAAAAGGGGGAAAAATCTATAAACCTAAAAAATATGTAATAGCCTTCCAAAGAAGTCTTGGCTTAAAGAATGTGAAGAACCATTTAGAAATAAGTAACAATGACAAACACTAAATGCACATACTTTGGTCTGTAACTCGCATAATCAGGGAAAGCTGATAGCCTAAAATATTTTCAGTAAAAATCAAGAAAACTGAAAAAAGAGGTGAGCTAGTATTCAAGAAATTGCCTCCCTAAATAATAAAAGCAATTTAAAAAGGAAAAAATAAATATTTTTAAGAAAATAAAGAGATCAAGGAGATAATAGACTTCATAAATATACAATTGTATATTTTATAAATTCATAAAAAGAGGAAAAAGAAGAGAAGATGTTACAAATAAGAGTGATACATTAAAGATATGAATATGGTCTTAAATTATCAAAAAAAGAAGATATTTAAACTATCATTTTTGAAAATCATATTGTAACAGTTGGTTTTCTGAAAAATAAACAAACTAGACAGCCCACAGAACTTTAATTTTTTCCTGAGGAAGTGTAAAATCTGGCTGGCCTGATAAAACAAACTTCAGCCGCAGTCCTGTGCCGCTATGCTGCCCTCACAGAAGCACACACATGCATACCAGCCTGCCCAGGTTTTATGTGGCCTGTTCTACTTTGGCATCAAGCAACAGATGTGATGTGTGTTACACAACCTTCTTCCGAGCCTAGAGGCATTTGCACAGCTAACTCAATCAATACCGCTGTGACTAGAGAAGTGAAGTTTCTCAATAAAACCTTGGTAAATTGAAAGAAGAGCATATTTAAAGAAGTCCTTGAACAACAGTCCTAGTTTTCCCAGAGTCACAGGAATGTTTAATATCAGAGAAAAAAAATGAATAGAAATCACTGCATTAATAAATTACAAGGAAATATTATCATCTTAATAAAACAAAATTGGTGGTTAAACAAACCATACATGAGTATAATAAATAATTGTCAGCTAAGCACCAAAATTCAATATTTATAGCAAACAAAGAACAAAAGGAACCTTTCTTAATCTGTGAAAGAGTGTCCACCAGAAGAGAACATTCTTGTGATGAAATATTAAAAGTGTTCTTATTAAAGTAAGGAAGGAGATAATAATGTCTGCTATTACTTCTATGATTAAACATCGTTTTTTTGTAAGTCCTAACCAGAACATTAAAGAAAGCAGAAAGAATTATGAAACATGCATATTAAAAGTTGAGAGTTAGAGTCATCATTTTTTCAGATGTTCATTGTCAACCTGGAAATCTAAGAGAATTAGTGGACATCTCATTAGAACTAGAGTTAAGGTTAAGATATTTAAGTTGAAACATCTTCCAAATACAAAAACCAAAGCTTCACTTTATACTGAATACTATTTTACATATCAAAACATTGCTAAAACTAACACCCGAAACATAGCAAAATTATTTTGCCTTCCTCCTGACCATCACACCTGGTGATAGGTATTCGCAGCTGCTCACCTGGCCTGTCTGAGTCAAGGCACCGTGGGCCTCTCTGAGTCTCAGCCGAGGTCTCTGCACTTGATGCTACGAGGGCTGTCTCAGCCTGCTTGCACCTCTCGGCTACTGGGCTGTGTTTTTCTTTCCTCGTCTTCCCTCCCCCAAAGCTTTTCCACGATTGAAGCTCTTTTTTCTGTTCCACCTTTGAAGCTCTCTGTTCTTTCCCACCCTCTTCTTTAAACCAGTCTTTGTACACACGCCAAGTGTTGGGCGACGTCAGTGGCAGGATGCGGAAATGGAGTGAATGTTACTAAGGCAGTTGATGATCTTCGCCCTGCCCACCCCCTTGCAGAGGGAGCCGCGCTCTTCGCCTGATCCTTCTACAGGCTATTTCTCCAGTAGAAGGGAATTTAAAAGTGCTCTATAAAAATAAATTGGGCACAGCCAGATGAATTTAAAAATACAGCATTAAACTTTCATTGGAAGGTCATCTCAAATGTGAAAATATATTTATTTGCATGTGTGTGACACACACACACACACACACACACACACAGCACAAGAGACACTTGTGAGCAGAGTCATTAAACAAGAAAGCGCATTTCCAAAAGAGAAGACTAAATGCACTCCCGTGTATCACCTTTGTTCCTATAAATCATTTGTTTTATTTTCTAGTACCATCCTGATGTATCATCTTTTCACAGAAAGACCATAAAACTCATAAATGCTCTGTTTTTGACTCCTATATTAAGCATGTGCTTTTTTGCTATATTATACTCTATTGACTCAACTTTTTCCAGAAAAGCAGAAAACATCAGCCAAATATGTTGCTGTAATACTGATATATATATTTGATTTCTCCTTTTAAATGTTCATGTTTTAAAATCATCTTGCTGTGTCCCAGAGCATCTCTGCCAACCTTCTTCTGCCCATCTCCACCTTCTGCCCATCCCCACCTTCTGAACATCCCCACCTTCTGCCCATCCCCACCTTCTGAACATCCCACCTTCGGAGAAGGAAGTCATTGAGGGTACATGCAACTGGCTTAATGAAAGCCTCTTATTTCCTGACCTTTTTGCCCTCTCTGTTCCTTAACCTAAAACCTCAGAATGTAATTCAGGATCCTAAACATGATAAGTATTCTTTTACTTAGATTCGCCATATGAGACATCATCTGCTACTCAAACTCCAGTTGATATGAGTCACTTAGCTTTTGACCTGTAAAATGCCCTTCTACAGCATGCACGGGAATGAGCCCGCCTACTCAGAAGCACGTACCTTCAGGGAATAAAGCACCTTAAAATACAGGACTCGATAATCTTGAGATACTCTGGCCATTTCAACTGTGTGTGAGTGTGTGGGTTTGTGTGTGTGTGTATGTGAGGGAAATAAACTGAGAATTCATTCCTAGCAGTCTGACTTTAATCAACCACTATTATTGTAACCCTACAACCATGAGATGGTTTGTTAGTCTATATACACTTCTTTCCCATCTTTGAAGCGAAATTATTTTTAAAAAGTGTAATTGCAAAGTTGGAATACGATGAAAAACACCTAAATACAATACAATCAGGCAATTCCTTGCTTTTTATACCCATCTAAGTGTTTTCTGTAAATCATTACTTTGAGAAGGGATCCAGGTAATCATATACTAGCTTCTCTCTGTCTCTCTCTCCCTCCTGTAAGTTATTCTGTCACTACCAGGAGCACAAATCATGGCACAGAATTTTTGCCTTCCTTGCTTCCTTTTCTTGACATGTTTAATGATGATTCAGAAGCCTAGTGGCTGTCTTGCGATCAGAATGTGGTCTGAGCGTGCGATTCGTAGACCACCTGGACGGAAGAGCTGAGTGCTCCCCTCAGGGCTTCCATTACTTGAAAAGAATAAACCTCCTAATTATTCAGGCCACTGAGTGCTAGGTTTTCTGTAATTCACAACTAAATTGAGTAATACCATGTACAGATACTCAATACTTATTTGTTAAGCATGTTGATAAATAATACCTTTAATATTATTGGGAACAAACACCTGACGTTGTGTATATCACTTAAAATTGTGGAATTATCTTGCTGTACAGTGGTGCACTGATTCTAGTAATAGCAAATAGTGAGGAACCTTTCTATTGTCAAGAAAAATGTGAGGTATATCAGAAAAGGCATGGGCTGTTGATGCTCAACAGACTTGAATTATAATCTTTACTCTTCCATTCAGTAGCTCAGTGCCTGTGGAATTATGTAATTATGTAATTAATCTTGTCAAGTTGTAGATTCCTCATATGTCAAATTAAGAAATTATTCTTGTGTAGGAGTTTTTAGAAAATAAAAGAATGAAATAATATATGTAAAGCAGATGAGAGTCGCCAAGCAAAGGTTGATTCCCTGTCTTCTTTGTTACAAATCTCCAGCAAACTTCTCTACTTTTATCACACTTCCTGTGGCCAGGGATTTTTTTTAGGTTTTGAAATCTTTACAATATGACTATGTTTTAAATAAATTACTGATTGCTTTGAGAAGCTCTTTATTCAATTTATATTTCCCAGTTGTGAGGATTATCTCAGACATTAATCAGTAGGTAAAATCTGAGAAATAGCAGGCTGTGTATTGGATATTTTATGCCAGAAAATACTAGACTTTAAAGCCAGACATGAAGAGGGATGGAGGATCTACAGAAAGTGCTGGCTGGGGAAGTGGGGTGAACAGGGGAGTTTGGTGCAGAACACGTTACGTGGAAGACAGACATGGAAGCCCGTGGCCCCCCATCCTCCAATTTGCAGGGAAGCAAACTGAAGCCGCGCTGGACTGTGGGAGAGATTCCTGCTTCTCAGAGAGGCAGTGACAAATAATAGGGAAGAAGGAGCCAGAAAATAAGGACGATTGGAAAAAAGGAAGCATGTAATGCTAGAAAAGAACAAATAAAAGGGGTGAAAAAAAGAAGCTCTTTTTCTGGAGCACCTACTGTGTCTAAGCTCTGCATTCGCCCCTTCCCTGTGCATCTTCTCTGTCCGTGATTTCACAGAACTCCCTGGAGTAAGTAGAGGCAGGAGTTAGCTGAATGGGAACTGGAGCAGGACAAAAACAGTACAGGAAGGAATTCACTTGGTGTTTCATCCAGGACGATTGACTTCTATTCCAAAATACTCTAGTCGTGAACAGGACTGCCTTAGGGTAGCCGCTGTCCTCTGGTGACTCCAGCCCTGCCCTGCCTTCCTCGCGCACTCGGGGGGGCTCCCCTCTCCCAGGGCAGAGGCCCTGCTTGTGTCCTGAGTGCAGACCCCAGATCCTCCCTCTCTCAACGGCGCCCAGCCGCCCCAGCTCCTTCTCTCCACTGTTGGCGCCCTGGGGGAGCACTTCCAGGCAGCACGTGGATTCCCTCCAGAAACTCAGACAGACTGAGGCCAGTGGTACTTCCCGATCCCTGCGCTCAGCTCAAATGGGACCAGGTAAATGAAGCTTAGCTGTTTGCTCCAGGGAGTACTTGCTTCTGGAAGGTAAGACTGTTAACTTCATCAAGACTAACTCTATCAGACAGTCGCCTCAGTATATTTATCCATTCCAAGGTCTTCTGTCATAACTCTGTCCAAGCCCAGACCACTCTGTGCGATATAAGCTGCTGTAAATCACCCAGCCTAGATCCTCAAACTATTAATATCTTCTCTGACTACTCCCTTCTGAAAAACTACTAAGACAGTCAAGCTTGTACTATCTCTTACCGAAGTAGGCCTAATAAACTTAATTTTCATTGCTTCCAAAGATTTTCTGATGGTCTTTTGGAGAAACTACAGTCTACACTGCTGGTTAAAAAAAAAAAAAATTCCCACTGCTTCTCCTCACTTTCCAGATGCCCATTTTCTGCTGTTCCTTACGCAAAATTTGTTGAAGCTGCTATTGATATTCACAGGTCCGATCTCAGCAACTGTACATCGCTTCTACTCATTCCGATTTGGCTTCCAGCCATCACGCTGCCGAGGGGTGTTCTTGACAAGAGCACCAACACGTTCCTGACGTGAATCCAGAGAGTGCTTCCCCGTCACCGTCCAGCCTCACTGCCCGAACCTGACCGAGGCTCTCTTCCCAACAATCTGTTCCCTGTGCTGTGGTGCCGCGTTGTCTCTCCTCTCCCTCCATCTCACTGCTCCGCGGGGGCTCCTCCTCCTTTCCCACTACCTGCCGCTACATGGCTTTTCTCCATCTCAACATTCAAGTGCCTCAGATTATGATACAAGGTTTCTTCTCTCTAGTTTTTCTAAATCATCTTCTCTAAACCCAGAATTAGAAATAACATGATTTTCTTGATGGCTCCCACAGATATGTCTTCTTCCCAAACGTTTTAGTTTTTCTAAATCATCTTCTCTAAACCCAGAATTAGAAATAACATGATTTTCTTGATGGCTCCCACAGATATGTCTTCTTCCCAAACGTTTTTGAGATCTAGACTTGAATGCAGATGATCTTTAGTTTTCACTGATGTGGTTTTTGCAAAATCACCTGCTCATTAGAATTTAGTTCGAAACGCCAAATCGATACTCGTGATGCTGCTGCTGTCATTTGCACGGCAGCAGAATTTTGATTTGCATCCTCCACACGTTCCCACTGCGGTCAGAACAAGAAGGCAGCGCCCTTCTTGCTTCAGCTCTGTGTTGTGGTCCTTTCATGCCACGTTTTTCACATTCTCATGATTTGTGTTTGTGATTTCACTGTTTACAATAACCCCCAAGAATAGTGCAGAGGTGCTGTCTTGTGTTCAGAGGTACAAGGAAGCTGTGATGCACTTTCAAACCGAAAGACACATTAAACAAGGCTACACATTGATTGGTTGATGAAAATATAACCAGTGGCTGGCAGGATCTGAACCTTACATTTTCCCAAGGGGTGATGGTTCTGTATTAGCTAATTCAGCATTTGTGACAAGATAATAGAGCACATTGCCACGAATAATGATAATTAACTCTGCCTTCTTCACTTGGGTGACTTACAGACATTGTAGACTTTGTTATGTAAAGCCTCGAACATTTACTTGTCATTCACCGTCCCATGTAGCATTAAGTAGTAACATTATCTTGTTAGTTACTTAAGGCATAACTTTGCTGCTTCCTAAACAAATGTTCAACGTTTTCTGCCTTCCACATCCAATATGGTACATAATCCTG